GGTTCCATCATGACCCTCCCCTCACCCCTCTGATTAGCTGCTGCTTCTATTATTATGGATCATGTTGTGCTTTGTAAAGGAGAGGAAAGTGTCAGTGAGTGTCATGCTATATCTTTGGGTGATGTACCTAGCACACTTGTGCAAGTTGTGAGAAGTGAGTAAGCGGCACTGAGTGTGTAAAGGGTGAGGTGATGATTATGAATGTGAGGTTCAAGTCAAGCGTGTTGGTAGATGAAGGAAGGAAGTGTGATGAACAAAATAGTGTTTGGGGCTAATTGATAGGATGTCATTGACTGACCTTGACCACTTTCATTAGGGCATTACGTTTCTTGCAGTGTTGCATACAGGACCTCAGCGACAGGCTGATGCCATTGACCTATGGACATTTGCTCACACTGTCTTCTCAGCAGTCAGTCTGGAGGGCAGAATGAAGGGGTGAGGTCACGTCCATAGTGGAATGTCATTTAATCTGTAATCACCTTCCCTGAATTCTTAAGTCAAACACTTTCTGCTTTGGATCCAGGAACATGCCACCACACACCCATTGCTGACCACGGCCTTGCTACTCCTTTGTCTCAGCAACTGGCTTCTTCCTCTCATTGTTAGGGAAGAGACAGGATCCTGTCTTAGTAAGGGAATGGAGGGAAATACATCACCTATCTTGACTCCTTCTCACCTATTGTGGGTTGTGTTCCTCCTGGAATGAGAGAAAGGAAGGTGTTACACTCTTGTGATGAATTAGGTGGCACAGCTATTCCCTTTGATAGAGCGTCAGACGATGAGGGGCGCCCTGATAGAAGTTTATAAAATCATGACAGGCACGGATTGGGTGAATATTCAAGGTCTTGTCTCCAGGATAGGGGAGTTCAAAACTTAGGGTGTAGGTTTAAGGTGAGAGGGGAAAGAGTTAAAAGGGACTTAAGGGTTAACTTTTTCATGCAGAGGGTGGTCCGAGTATGGAATGAGCTGCCAGAGGAGGTGGTGAAGGTACAATTACACTATTTAAAGAGTATCTGGATGGGTATATGAAGAGAAAGGGTTTAGAGGGATATGGGCCAAGTGCTGGCAAATTGGACTAGATTAATGTAGAATATCTGGTTGGCATGGACGAGTTGGACTGAAGGGTCTGTTTCCAAGCTGTATATCTCTATGACATTATCTATGACTCTATGATACCTCACACTCACCTCTATACCTGCTACTGTCTCTGCCTCTATCAAGGATTATGCTCTACCAGTCTCACTATTACCTGCAACATTTTCCCTCACTTGCTGTCTCTCACTCAAATGCCCAGCACCACTAACACTGCATGGCCTCTGTACTCACCTCCTTGGGACATCTCCCCACTGTTAGTCCTGGACAAGAAGGAAGTCCCATGTCAGCACTACCCCATCCAGCAGGCCCTCCAGGACCCTGCCCACAAAGCAGGGTGCTGATTTCCCCATCTGCTATGTCCAAGTGTCAGGTTGCATGCAGGGCAGCTCCAGACTGACTGTGCTTGTCTGGGTGCCCAACAGAATTTTAAAAATGATGTGTATGCAAAGGATGCTGGTAAATTCTAGGATATTCTTGAAATTGGCAAATTTTTCTGGGAATGATGCATTGTAAGATGGGGTGAAAATCTAATGTGAGAGAAGCAATAGAGGCATGATAGGTGATTAATGAGGCAACTTTGGTCAGATACAGCAAGAGAACATGCTCGGCCTCACAATTACAAAGCTTCCAAAAACAAAAGATGACATAACTCACTTAGCCAAAAAATAAGTAATATTCAGTCCAAACAGTGTTGTCTCCAGTACTAGAGATAGTAGGAACTGCCGCTCCTTGGCCTGCTGTGTTCATCCAGCTCTACACCTTGTTGCCTCCAGTCCTGCTGCCACATTTCTTTACAGCTCTCTCCAATCTAACTGTTCAAATTGACAATTTTTGGCCACAAGGTTGAGTGCTTTTCATTGTGATGGTCATTGCAGACGTTTTCCTCCAGCTTCAAGCTAAACAAATCATACAGTTTCTTTTCACGCCGCCAAACACCAAGTGGCCCACAACCTATACAATACCAAGTCTGCAATAATTTTTGTTGACTCTCCCCATCACAATCTCTGCTCCAAAGAGAACAACTCCGGCTTCATGAGCCTCTCCATGCATCTGAATTCCCTCACTCTTACCATCATTCTAGTGAATCGCCTCCGAGTGCTGGCTAGAGTTTCGACACTCTTGCTGAAAAGAGGGGCTTGGAATTGCACACAACACTTCAGCTGAGGTCTAACTAGCCATTCATAAAGTTTTACCATATTTTTATTCCACTTATACTTTATAGCTCCAATTATAGAGATTTATTTATACTTCGACAATGTACAACCTTTAACCATCTTTTCATTTTGTCATTCTTCAAAAAATTGTGTCTGTGCATCCCTAGATTCCTGCACCTCCTATAAAATTGTACCATTTGGTTTATATTCCCTCTCCTAAATTTCCTTTCCAGAAAGCAATACTTCACATTTCTGTGCATTAAATTTTATCTACCATATACCCTCTCACTTTCCTATGTCTTCCTAAATTCTTCTATAGGTATATAGCTATCAATATGGTGTTGCCTACATCCCTGGGACCAAAAATTTGCATTACATTTTTTTGTCTTTAATTGAAACACCTTACTGGCTTCTGGACCTAAATATGCAAAAGTGAAAGAAAGCAGAGAAAATAATAGAAAGAAAGGAATCTTTGGAGGTGATTTTCCTTACGTTTATATCCAATGTTAAATGAAAATGTGGACAGAGAGAAAAAAAGAAAATTTATTACCTTATAAAAATGATTCATTCACTGTTTAGAATGATCAATAAACTTGTCTGATATAATTGGGAACCATTGCCTTACGAATTGAAATGTGCGGATGGAACGTAAGCTAAAATAAGGAAATAGAGTGGACAGATGGCAGAATTTTACATGGACATTTCTGAATATTTCATAGGATTCAAGACCTTAACTCCACGGAATGAAGAGTAACTTCTTCTGTACTTGACTCTCAAGAACAAGGATATTAATAAAATGTATCTTGGAGGCCTGTGAGGCTAAAGCATAAATTTAAACAGGGGCAGGGCCATGGAGGGATTTGAAAAGAATGTGTCTGATTTCAAAATTAAGATGGTACTTAACTAGTTTAGCGATAACAGGGATGATGAATGAATGGGACTTGGTGGATGTTAGAAGACAGGAAATAGAGTTTTGGATGACCTCAAGCTTACAAAAGGTAGGAGCCTGGGAGACCGATGTGTGTTAGAATAGCAAAGTCTGCTGGTAATAAATGCAACATTTGTGCAGCAGCTGAATGGAGGCTGGGACAGAGTCATTTTTTCGACTGGAGGAAGTTTTATATTGGAGTTCCCCAAGGGTCAGTATTGGAACCCTTGATTTTTCTGATAGATATAAATGATCTAGATCTTGGTGTGCAGATGACAATTTCAACATTGTCAGACAATGCAAATCTTGTAAAAATTGCAAACCTTTGGGAGGTTAATGAAGAACTTCAAAAAGACTGGCACATTGGTGAAGTGGGCAGAAGGGTAGCAGTTGAAATTCAATGCAGAAAAGTGTTAGTTAATACATTTTGATTAAAAGAACATGGACAGACAGTATAAAAGAGAGGGTACTATTCTAAAGGGTGTGCAGGAGCAAAGAAGCCTGGGCGTACGTGAAACTAAGTCATTAAAGGTGAGAATACTCTTTGTTTGCGCTGTAAACAAAACATATAGTATTGTGGGCTTCATTAATAGGGGCATGGAGTACATTACAGGGTGGCTATGATGAACCTTTAAGATACTGGTTAGATCTCAGATGGAATATTATGCATGGTTTTGAGTGCGACACTGCATGAAGGATAAGGATGCATTGGAAAGAGGGCAGAGAGGTGTAAGAATGGTTGCAGGGATGAGACATTTCTGTTGAGAGAAAAGGTTGGAGAAGTTGAAACTATTTTCCTTGGAGAGGGGAAAGCCAATACGAGATTTGATAGATGTTTCAAAATTATGAGGGGGTTGGACAGATTTGATAGGAAGAAATTGTTCTTGCTTGCAAATGGATTGAGAACCAGAGGCCATGGTTTTTGAGGTGTTTTTATAAAAGAAGTGGATTGGAGGTGAGAGATTAAAAATTCACACAACAATTAATTAGGGTATGGAATGCACTGCCTGGAAGTACAGTGGAAGCAGATTCAATTAAGGCATTCAAGAGGGCATTGGATAATTATTTAAATGGGCTGAGTTACAGTAAAATGGTACCATGGGCCAAATGGCTTTCTGTCCCATGTAACAATTCGCTGATTGGGAGCAATGTACACAAACATGCTCTGTGAAGTTTAGTCATTGTGCACCTGGAAGTGAAAGAATCATGTAGCCTTACATGCATCTCCCCATATATGATTGGTTGATTCTTTTACTCACTTGCATATCACTGTTAAAGCCTTTAGTTAATGGAGAGTAATGATACAGTGAGCATAGTAATAATTAAATTGTTGATTAACATTTACCACTGAATCAGAACAATTTATTGTGTATCACTTGTCCTCGTCTCAATCTATTGATCAAGACAAAGCTGTAGTTAGGATGGTGTGCAAGTTCAGTTTGCAAAAACAAAGTGAAAATGCGGGGAGATTCAGCAGACGTTTGGATGGAGAGAGAACCCGCATTAACGTTTTGGTCAGGAATACGGAACAGATAATTGGGACACGAGAATTTATCAAACTATCTGTGACTGGTGAGCACCGTAGGGACAGTAGTGCTAACTGGATAGTGTAGTACAGTGGACACATGTTGCTAAAATGTGTTCAGTGTTTGCTTTGTTGATATAATGCGGAGTATTGAACGTGCTTCTCCATAAAGGGGCCGCTTTTTTTATTTTGAGGGTTGGGTAGAGATCATTGCACAGAATTTTCTTAAGTTTTTTAAAAGGCTGTACATTTGTGAGTACGGCTTGAGATTGTTGTCGGCTGTAGTCTAGCTATCGGTTCATTTCAATTGGCTGCGGAGGGCAGGAAGTGAAAATATTGTTCCCACCTTTCAGTCTCAGCTGATCTCTCCGAGACGGAAGTGAGTGTGGTTGTTTCAGACATTGAGTCTGTTAGCTTTACTTTGAATGTCTCTCATCCCAACAGAAGCCTGGCAATGGTGGGCTGAGGGAAGCGGTGCTATCGTTTTAGCTGTGAGTGAGAGAGCGAAGAGCCGGGCTCAGGGCAGGTAGAGAGTCAGGGAATTAAAGTGGGCAGGAGGAAGAGATACCTGCAATGAGAAGAGTGTCAGAGGGTAAGGGATGGCATCCATTCAACAGAGCCGAAATGGAGACGAAGGAGAGGACGGCGAGGATGGCTCTCTCCACAAAATGCTGATGGCGATAGAGGAGGAGCGGATCAGAGCAAGCCTCAAGCAGGAGATGAGTGGCCTGGGTAAGTGCAAAGGGATTTGTTCCTCTCTCTTGCATACACTGATAGCCTTGAGATTCTGCTAACGTGACATTAAAAACTCCACACTCTTCTGGGTCATTCCTAGCAGAGGAGGATTGTTAGGGCGCTAGGAGACTACAGACTTTCCAGAGTTAGTCCTGTTCAAGTTGATCCTTAGTGAAGTGACGCCTTTCGGTTTTGACAGATCACTTTTAGTGGTGGAAAGAAATCCGCTCCATCAACGCCTTGTTTCTAAATATCAAACAGCGAGCGTTAATTGGGAGAGAATTTAAAGAGCCTGTTTAAAACCGTTGGTTGGTTTTAACTGTTCAATAGCTGCAACAGGGCAAACGAGTGTTCGGAGTTTACAGACGATTTTCGTTGTTAACTGGGCGTTTTGTTACTATTACCCTCAGCCCGTTTTTGTTCCACTTAGATGTTACATTCGCAGTTAAGTTGCAAAATTGCCTCCATTATTTGGTCGTATTCACATGATGCGCTAAGGTGTACTGGGTTTTACCATGAATAATAGTGGGTGTGGAGACGGTAACTCCATAAACTCCATAGCTATCTGACTGGTGGGCACTAACTAGTGGACAATGACAGCCAAATCTAAATATCAGTGAGATGGTCATAGGCTGTATCGCCTTTGCACATTCAGCAGAGGTGGTTTGCTCTGTGATGTTTTACTATGCTCCTGCCTTTACTGTGGGACTTGCCTGGGAGTTGAGCGCAACGTTTTTAAATGGCTTTTTTTAAACCGTGACCACAGGCCAGACTCTTGTTGACAGGTTTGTCAGTTACGTTTTAGTTTCTATTTCGGGAAAAAAAATGGAAGAAAAGAACAAGTAACCTCTCCCTTTTCCTATGATTGATTCAATTACCCGGTGTGTGAAGCTCAGGATGAGGTAAGCTGCAATTTCAAAGGAAGCCGCAGGTGGGCAGTGAGCATGCGCTGGTGCGCGGCGCATCCTGGGAGTTGTAGTCTCAGGAAGCCAGGTTCCCCGTAGGTTGGACAGGGGAGCGGACTACAATCCCCAGAACGCAGGGCGGCGAGGGACAGCGCGCATTGTTGCCCATTCTGATAGAAGGGGATGATGTAATTGTTAGTGGAGCCACCCTGGACCTCCATCTGCGCCGATCGCATCAGGGTAGCTTCAGACTGCAATACAATCCAGAGTGCTGGAGAAAGCTCAGCTCTGGCAGCATCAGAAACATGAGACCTGAAGAAGTCAAATTGGACTGGAAAGGTTAACTAAGGGCAGCTTTACACTGGCACTTGTTGCAGATTGTCTAAGCTTCAACAGCTTCTGCAGCAGCATGTATGTACCTGTCCCCTAATAAAATGTCTGCATTTTTATTTTGTCATGCAGCAGAAAAACTGGCGAGTTATGTGCTGGGATATTTTGGTGCCTTTTACTCCAGTGAGGAGTAAGGCGTTAACAATACAAAATAATTGTTTCCTATTTTTCCATCTTATTCATTACATTTGCCACAGTCCAATTCAGGTGGCAAATATTTATTGAACTGTAGCCAGTCATTGTGTGCTAATTTTGAAACTACATCGAAAACTGGTGTCTTAAAATAATTGTGGTGCGGTGGAATTGTGATTTTTAAAATAATACAAGTTCACTAAGAAATTTTAAGAAATATCATACCTGTCTTTCCCACACTGTCAGAAGTCACATGACACCAGGTTGTAGTCCGCCAGGTTTATTTAAAATCACAAGCTTTTGGAGCGCTGCTCCTTCATCAGATGAGGTGAGCTTAAATAAATGCATTGGATTATAACCTGGTGTCATGTGATTTCTGACTTTGTCCAGTCCAACAGCAGCATCTCCACATCATTCCCACCCTGACCTATTTGTGACTCCAGTTCCAAATCTAACTTGATCGTTAAGTAGCCCTCCATTTGGCCTAGCAAACTGTGGCTGTCCTTTTTTTGGAAAATTAGGGATAACCAATAACTGAAGCATTTCCGTCGGTGCTTGCATTCTCTCTCTCTCTCCGTTCTGTGATACCACTACAATGCTGGTTGACTTTTCTCCTGTCATTCCTATCATGCCAAGCACCATTTTTAGTTTTAGTGGATGATTTTAACAGCCAGATGGCCTTCCTGCCAGTAACTCAGCCCATTTGTCAGTGCTGTGGGTCTGTACAGGTAGCAGCTGATGTGTCTGCAACAATGACAGTGTTCTTCAATGGACAACAGGTCCCAGAGTGAGATTCAAACTTAGAGCTTTGGGTTCAGATGCTAGGGTGCTGCTTGCTGAGCCACTCAACCTCACAGATACCCACGTTCTGTGACTGAATAAATAAAACGTTGTTTCAATTTCATTTTAAAGTGCTGTTTTCACTGACTGCTGGGTAGTTTGGAGGAGGCAACAGCCTAGAGGTATAATTGCCGGACTATTAATCCAGAGATCCAGATAACGTTCTGGGGACCTGGGTTCGAATCCTGCCACGGCAGATGGTGGAATTTGAATTCAATAAAATATCTGGAATTAAGAATCTCTAATGAAGAGCATCAATCCATTGTCAATTGTTGGAGAAACCCATCTGGTTCACTAATGGCCTTTAGGGAAGGAAACTGCCATCCTTACCTGGTCTGGCCTACATGTGACTCCAGACCCATAGCAATGTGGTTAACTCTGAACTGTCTAGGCAATTAGGGATGGGCAATAAATGCTGCCTAGCCAGCAACGCCCTCATCCCATTAATGAATAAAGAGAGAAAAAAAGTTTGGAGATGCTGTGATTACAGTGATTAATAAGATGACTCATTTCAGATCTAATCATCCCATTCTAAAAGATCTCTTTATCAAATCTTTTTAAAGATTTACAATATAAAGAATATATAGTCACCTCCTGTAAATAATGAAATTTTTCACGAAGTCTGCTGTACACTGGTAAATTTTTCAGTAATGGTTTCCGACTTTTGGTAGGTTTGCTAGGGTGGGTTAGCATGCCGACCAAAAGATGTTGGTTTGCAGCCACTTTCCTGTGTACCACGATTGTTATTCCAATCCACTTCAGTCAAAAGTGATGTTCCAGCCAATATGTTTTGGTTAAATGGATAATACAGGTGAACTGAAATAGTGAATGTTGCTCAGTAATGAGTAGGGTTATCATTGGTGCTCTCCATCATGCAACAAATGGTGATTGTGGTCAAATATCCTACCCCAAGTTGTTCAAAATCTGTCAACTCTGATAAGAGACAAAATTCTGCTAGTCTGAATCATGTACATGCACTTGCCCACTAAACCATTAGGGACAGCTTATATTGCCTATGTCATTTATATGATATGAAGGAACATTTATAGCCTCAGAAGTTAAAATGTGTTAGCAATGGGATATACTTTGGCTGTTGTAATGAGACATTGACAAAATGTACTTGATTATAATGCAAATTATTTGGTCAGCTGGAGATTCTTGGCAACAATGGAACTTCAGGAAAGCAGCAAGTGCTTTTTACATGCCTGTCCTCTGGTACTTTGAATAAATATTACTCCCGCTCAGCACTACAACTAACCATTGAGCTGTTGGACTGGAGTTCCACTGGCACTGCATTAGGTCAAACACAAGTCTTTCTAACCTTCTGCTGTCCCAAAGCGCACAAAGTAGCAATGATCATGATTGTTGGACAACCATTTTTTTAAAAATCTTCCCATACCTGATTTTTATTTTCAAACTGCTGTAACGGGAAGCTAGATGTTGATAAATGACACGGCCTGGATAAAGTAAGAGATTTCCTTTAAAACCTGAGCCTCTTTTTCTTAAAGCAGATAGTTTGCATATTTAGTAACAGTATCTCCAGAGAAGTTATTATTAATAGGTTATGGTGTCTCTAGAGATGCAGTAGAAAAATTGCAGTTTAGAAGAATGTGAGGTGACCTTATTGAAACATATAGGATTCTTAAAGGACTTGACAAGATAGATTTTGAGGTTCTCTTCCCTCTGTAGGGTTGGAGGACATTATATTGTCTAAATAAGGTGTTGCCTGCTTAGAACAAGTGAGGAGGAATTTCTTCTGAGGGTAATGAATTTGTGGAATTATTTGCTATCAAGGCTGGATCATTAATTATATTCAAGGTTGAGGTATTGATTTTAGTCAATAAGAGAATCAAGGTTTATGGGGGGAAAAAGCAGGAAGTGAGGATAATCAGATCAGCTGTGATCTCATTGAATGGTAGAGCAGATTTGATGAGCTGAATGGCCTACTTTTGCTCCTGTGCCTTGTGTTACTTGCTGATTAATCCAATGGCTTTGACTCACGATCTTTGTCCAGGTGAGTTAATGTTCTACCATGGCACTTATTAAATTTCAATGCAGTTAATTAAGCAAATAAAAATTTAGCAGGAGTAATAATGACCATCTAACTGCTAAATTGTTATGAAAATCCAGCTAGTTCCCTGAGCACCTTTTGAAGGTGAAGATTTGCTGACTTTATGCTGTGCATGTATAGGCCAAACAGCCGTGAGGTTGATGCTTTTCTACTCTCTGAAATAGCCTAGCAAACCACTTAGTTTTTTTTTTGTATAGCAGTTTTATATAGCTGGTAGATCACCAAACAGCAACCTAGGCATGACAAAGGCACGCACAGTCCAGTCAACCCTGAAAAGTTGTCTTCACCATTATTCGGGGAAGTTGCCCCAGAATAAGGGAAATGTTCTCGTGGACTAGTCATGAAACACCTGAGAGAGTCATACTCTCAGAAATAGAGATAACAAGGTGTAGAGCTGGATGAACACAGCAGGCCAAACAGCATCAGAGGAGCAGGAAGGCTGACGTTTCGGGCCTAGACCCTTCTTCAGAAATGGGGTAGGGGAAGGGGATTCTGAAATAAATAGGGAGAGAGGGGGAGGTGAGTAGAAGATGGATAAAAGAGAAGATAGGTGGAGAGGAGACAGACAGGTCAAAGAGGTGGGGGTGGAGCCAGTAAAGGTGAGTGTGGGTGGGGAGTTTGGGAGGGGAGAGGTCAGTCCTGGGAGGACGGACAGGTCA